TAAGTTTAGCGGACATACAGTATGTACAGTCAGTTTTGTAACATATGTTATGTCATGTCATAAAGTATATAAGGTTTGTTGGCCTGGGAGTTGGAAGTATAGCTAGAAAACAGGCTTAAACTAGTCTAAAGAACCTATTTGGGAAACTCATCTACATTTGCATACAGGCGCACCACCACACCCGGGGCCAGGCTTTCAGTTTTTTCCCAATGAATAGTAAACTTAGGAATAGGAAACAGAATATAAAATATAATTACAACAAAAATGTTTTCATATTTAGATAACTTTATGACACAAAACGCATGAGTTTATGAAAACAATACACAACATGAATAAAACAAATCCTACAATAGATCACCAGAAAAACAATAGAATTAACAAAAAGCGGTTTATTTTCATAAAGTTTTTTTACAATAAGTTTTCTACAATACAATCGCCGATTGTCTTGACATACGGGTTGTGAGAGAGAAATACAATCATAACATGAAAAACACTTTATTTTGTGGCAAACCGTGTAATCGATTGGCAGAGAGTGGGACACATAGGCTGCCAGTCCTGCCTATTGAAGATTCCTCGCCTTAAATCCAGTTTAGCTACACATTTGCGTTGGCATTACTTTCCTCTGCCACTAACATACCTGTGCTCTCTGTGTGTCTATCTCGTAATACCCTGTAGTCTGTCGTTTTTTCGATCAGTGAATAAAAGGTTAGTGGGTCAGCACCGGTATTGGACCATCTTTCTGACTGTAGCTCACAGTCTTACGGTGCAACTAAAAGCTAACGGTGCGAACGTGTATAGCCTTATCTTATTCACCAATAGTCGCGTCATTAGTATTTGAAGGGAAAACTATTTATAAAATAGCGATTCTTTGACTTTAAATCGTTATTTGAGTGTTAATTCAATACATATTATTGACTCAGAAAATGGTAATTATTTTAAAACTTATGTTTTCCACTAATTTCTTATTACTTATACAAACACTTATTTAAAAATTAATTAATTATTAACTAATCACTTATTAAACTACTCAATGGTTAATAAGTTTTAATAACTTGTAATATACTACACATTAATTCAACAGAATTTCTAAAATTAATAATTTCGATACAATTATTTAAATGCATATTAACTGTGATCTTAAACCATACCTCCATTTCCACAGCCATCCCATCACCACATCCTCTACGCGCTGATTGTCTGTGTGTTAGCCCAACACGTCTTATCACAGGAGACGTCGGAGTTGGCCGAGGAGTACATCGACGAAGACCTGCCGGAGTCGGCCGCCGACCCCAACAGCCCCTCCCTGACCGCCAAACCCAAGAACGAGTCGACAAATGAGTTGAACGGCCACAAGAAGACCAACTTCACGGACGATCGGTTCACCAAACTTTTCCAGCCTCGCAGGGGTCGACCCCAGCCTGCCGTACTGTTCCCCAAGTTTAACGCCAAGGCCAAGCCTACCCTCCCGCCCTTCATCAAGAACACCCCGTCCATTGTCAAGGCCCAGCCGATCACCCAACCGCCCCAACCCGCCCAGCGATTCAATCAGCGATCGGTGGCCACCACTCAGAGGACTACTACTACCAGAACCCCCGCGAGGGGTGGTAGCTCTCAGGCTAATAGCAATCGTAGGGGCGGGATAGGAGGTAGGGGTGTCCAGTCGACCACTGCCAGCCCCTCGACCACTACGGACTCGGCGTCGAGGAGAAGGTTTGGCGGTGGCGTCGGAGGGAACCGTCGTTTTAATGTCAACTCAACCATTCCGGCCACGAGTCGACCGAAAAGATTTTGAAAACCGATTTGTAATGAAGTTTTTGAGATATACTTATGACTAGAGACTAGAGAAGCGTTTTTTGGTGAGAATTGAATATTTTTTGTATTATTTTTATAGTGTTTTTGTAATTTGTTTTTAATATTAATAATTAAGAGTTTTATATGAGTTTTCATATTATTTGATAACTTTGTTTGAATTCATTGTGTTTTATAAATCTATTTCTTGATAATTATTTTTGGATATCATTATTAATTTAAAATGTGACATACAAAATAAAAATTCAAATGATTTCACAATTATTTGCGAAAGTTTTTCATTATATTTAAATTAAATTAAATATATTTATATATATTCTAGTATATTATTAAATACTATAATTACGTGTCACTTAAACTAAACCATTTGGTGCTCTAAGCGTTTGCCTAAGTTTTGTGCACTCATTGAAAATTATAAGCATTTTTGTTATTGATTTAGAAATGTCTTAGGTGGTAAACACATTTCATTTAGTTTGTGAAATGTGTTTATGAAATTTCAATAACTTTCTAATTAAGAAATTTTGTTGTTTATAAAATTATTATTAATAATTTTTAATCACTAACTTATTAATGTTACCCATATAATAATTATATTTTACCATATATCTTATATACAAAATAATGCAAATTCTAATTTAAATCTAATTTTGGACATGTTAAATAGTTATTATAAATACATCTCATAAATATAAATATAATTATAAGCAAATAAATAACTCACAATTGTCGCCTTATATGTGTAGGTATGTTTTGTTCAAAATATTTTTAATAATTTTTATTTTACAAAATACATTTGATTGATAGATTTTGAAATGGAAAATAAATATTTTTATTTTGAGAGTGAATGAGAGTTTATAATTTGAAAAATCAAAACTTATTAGAAAGTCAGTCACTGACTCCTAAAAGTCAATGATTTTAATTAATTGACTTTTATTTTGGTACCCAATATTATACACGTATGAAATGAAATCCAATATATAATTGTGAATTCATTTTTCAATTTTAATATCACTCTTAAATTGGTTCAAAAGCTTTAGATTTTTGAGATCATATTGAGATAAATATTTGGATAAATTATATGGGCTTTCCTTAAGATCAATAATGCATTTAATTAGTTTATCCTAAACCTGAAAAGTTTATATTAATACAAAAAATATTTTAATCTTAAACTTTATTTTAAAACACACACGAAAATTATGTCTTTGAATAAATGACCCCGAGTGAAATTAAAATATACAGTATATACATATTATTTTTGAAATAATTACACTATAATGTGTATAAGTTTAGTAGTAATATAGTAATGGCGATTATATTAAACGACACATAAAAGCTAGTTAATTAATTGTTTGCTTACCGAGTATTAAATTCAATACCATTGTGAATACTAATTAATAATTAGTAATTATAATACTATAAGTGTTATATTGTTAATTTATGTAATCATTAGTCAATTCATACACACATCTTATGATATAAGTGTTTTGATAAGACTTATACATTATCTCTAATATACCGCAAGTTAACAGTATTAAATGTATTAAAGGGGTTTTGAAAAAATACTTAACACAGTAATCCACTAAAATGTACAGATAAAATGCTTACGATATTACATGACATTTATTTCAATAGTATTAAAACTTTGTTAATCAAGAATTTTTTTGAATTCTTTACACAATTCTTTGAATACACTTTTCATTTCATTTCTAAGTTCAGCATATTTTAGGTCAGAGTTCGTAATAACTGGTATTAAAACGAAATGATACTTTCTATTGTCATATTTTTTGTATTATAGACATTTAATATACTAGTAAACCTTTTTCCAACAATTATTGCCACGAATTTTGAAGCACTTCCTGGAAATAAATGTCTATAAAAGCACAATAAAAATATTAAATATAATAGGAGTTTAATAATGAACTTAAATATACTTATAAACAGAGAAAATACAGACAATTATTAGCGAAAAGAAATTTTTTTTTCTGTAAAAGCAATCGCTTTCATAGAAAATGAGTTAAACCTTCACTTAATAGTAAGAAATAAAAGTACTTTTTTGTGAATAATTATTGTTATAATGGATTATAAGTTAACGATTTATAGCGAAAACTACCGAAAAGATTATATAATAACTTACTATAATTAAGAGCAATGGGTATATCAAGACAAACAATGACTAATTGATTTTAAATGAGTTTATAAAATTGTATTACAAATACATTTACTAGTGTTGTGTTTGCGAGTGAAAATGATAGTAAAAATAGCATTGCTTTTGATAGTCAGCCAAATAGCACTTAAATGTTGCAAATCACTGGATATTGAAGTGAAGTGTTGTTTTTATGTGACTCTTAAATAATGTTATTTAATGGTATGTGATTGTGTGTATAATCAGCTAGTATTGACTTAACCCAGTAAATTAATGTCAATATATAAAAGTTTATTTTTCACACTTAAACTTGTGAAACACTAAAATCAAAGGGAATATACGATTGAATGTTATTTAAGCAAAAATAATACAAAATTTCATTGACCTTAAGGTACAGTATATAAAAAAGGGTATTTAAATTATGTTAACAAATATATAAAGTCAATGTGATTTGGTTAAAAACTAGTATTTAATTAACTAGTATTCAAATGAATTTATGAATTTTCAAAAACTTTATTAATGAAATTATCAGAGACTTGAATGCAATGATAACTATATTCATACAGAAAATCGCCGTCTCTATTACTATATTAACACTAAAGTATTGATTAAATTCAATAGTTTTCATAATAAACTCACCAATAATTGGCGCAAATCTTATCCGACAAATAAATTTCTTATCGCAAAAACTCTGTGCGAAAAAACTGTACAACAATTATAGCCATTAAGTTGTGTTAAAACTAATTAATAAGTTACAAGTTATTTGTCGTACAAAAAATCAGTCGCTATTATAATATAATGGTAGCTGAGGTGCCGGTGTATGTGCTGATGGGTACGTGCGGGTGCGGCAAAACTACATACGCCGAGCTGTTGGTCAACCGTTTCCAGTGTCAGTACATCGAGGGAGACCTCTTGCACCCCAAGGCTAACGTAGACAAGATGTCTGCGGGTATACCCCTTACCGACGATGACCGGTGGGGGTGGTTGACGTCCATACGCGACACGTACGTGCAAAAGGCCAGGGAGGTGGCAGCCAAGGGGGTCGACAGGAGTGGTATAATTATAGTGACCTGTTCCTCACTACGCAAAGTGTATAGGGATTTATTACGAGATGTGCCTAAAGGGTTGTGTCGAGTGGTGTTTGTTTACCTGAAAGGCACCTACAGTTTGATTGAGTCCAGGATGAGGGCCCGGAGCGACCACTTCATGGCCTCCAATATGTTGGACAGTCAGTGGCGGACACTGGAGGAGCCCGACCCTCAACACGAGGCTGTGATTATTCAGGACATTAGCGGCGATACGGAAGCGATTGTCGAGAATTTGGTGCAAGAGATCAGCAAACAATTGAATGTTTGACTCTGTATTGTGTTTTCATAGCGTGTTTAAAGGGTTAAGTGATTTGTTGAAGTGAACTTTGTAATTGCAAAATCTAACCACTTGTTTTATAAATCTAGTTTTATATGAAATTTAAATTTTTTATACGTGATTGAAATTTATTTTTGTGAACATCTATTGTATTAGGGTATAGGATGTGTTTTAAACTCCAAATACCCAATGCCTTAAAATTTTTATACAAGTAATAAATTTATTAATGATCAATAAAACTACGGTATTTATAAAATTGCCATTAATATGATAAATCAAAATAAACAACAATTTATAATAAAGAATTAATACTTTATTCATGACTTATTAATTCGTTGTATATATTCATTAAATATTAAACTATAATTAAGTTGACATTAATTTTAATAGAAAATTACACAAATATATACGATGTATAAAAGTATATTCAATAAAAAGTAATCGTTAAAAAATTAAATGAAATCAAAAGTATAATAATATTGCAAATACAGTATGTTTACAACAAATTAAACGAGAGTTTGTGTTAATGACTGTGCATTTAAAACAATTAGCAAATAAATAGTAAATAGTGAAAATAAAATACAGATTGAAAAAAGTTTAAGCGATAATTACAATAGCATTTACAGTATTGGCTAACAATTGGTACCTAACATTAGATAACATACAAAATTGACTGCATCTCTCATATTGAATGCCATTGTATTCACAGCCTAATGGTATTCATAAATATGTAAATATATTTCACAACAAGAATATACAGTACAATAATATTAAAATATTTGTGATCAATTAAAATTAACAAATCATCGCTAATTATACGATACAATTACTACGGTATACAGAATACATATCAATACACAGATAGTGTCCTTTACATGTAATACGATTTATTAATTAAGCGACAATCGTTTAGCATTGAAAACTGAGTAATGTAAACTAAAAGCTTTAAATTAACAGTTTACTCGTAGACTTGTATGCGTAAGCTGTTAATTTAAAGCTTTTGGTTTACATTACTCAGTTTTTAATGCAAAACGATTGTCACTTAATTAATAAATCGTATCACACATGCAAACACTCACACATAATTCAATCACTAGTACTGTATATCATAAAAACCTTCAATTCTGGTCTCGATTTGAATGGATTTTGTTGAGAAAGTGATTCATATTTGAAACATTCATTTTTCGCAATATATTCACTGTTGGAAACCTAACATCAGACGCCTATTGGGAAAAAACCAAAACAAAATCAATTAATTAACCAAAAAAATCCGCAAAACTGACCCTAATTTTGACGGGCAGTGACTCGTCTGACCCGGAACTGTGTCTCTTATTACTCCTATCCTTCGGCGGCAATCGCTTCTCCGACTGGCATTCGCTTTGACTACTCATGAGTGGGTTCTTAGGGTTGGCGTTACTATTATTGACTAAAAGTAACGGTTGTTTAGGAACTGTGGCGCAATCACTGCCACTATAAACGGGCACACAATTGGTGGTCAACGCACTGTTCAGCGTCGGCTTCGGCAGTATTTTGCGGTGAATCTGATCGCCGGAGCGCTTGGCCTGCAGTTCGGACGCCGGCTTCGAGAAGTCGACCCGTTTTCGGCCTCCCATTCGGCGATTCTGCATAGCATTTGACGCCATCGACTGGTGCACCGGTACTACAGATGACACGGCGGCGTACGAACCCATACTGTTGGCCAACGAGTTTTGGATCAGATTGTAGTCCTCGCCCCCGACCGACACTTTGGGCACAATTATGGGCACCGGTTTGCCGTTGAGGATGCAGTTCACGTCCGGCACGTAATCGCTGCGGAAGACTTTGACGGGCGTCACCTTCAGAGGCGTAATACGAGTCGACTCCGACGGACTCCTCGACGCATAGATAGTAATCGTCTTCTCCGGTGTCCGCAACTCTTGCATCAAATTCTTGACCACATTTCCGGCGCCTGTCTGACCGTCGACTCGCATTTGAGGGGTTCGCGGGGTATTCAGCGAAGAGGCCGATGAGGTGTTGGTCTCCACACTCGAGAGGTCTTTATAGGGAGTCATTTGGAGCTCCTTTTCAGTGATAATGTCTAAAATGGTGTTGTATTCGGGCGCCGACTCTAGATTTGCCAGAATATGGTTCACGTCCTCATCGTTGATACGGATGATGTCCTGCGGATCAATGTTTTGGTCACAGATTTGGTGATCTTTGACGTGTGTCTCATTCGCCGGTTCCGCGCAGTGATCGCCGTAATTGTCGGCCATATTGGCAAAGATTTTGTTGATATTGTCGGCCAACACGTCGTGCAAGGGCTCGAAGTTTATGAGTTCTCCGACAATGAACTCCGGCTGTACTAACGGCTCGTTGATATCCATCCTCAGCAGCGGTTCGCTCCCATCGGCCAACTGATCGCTGGATGTGTTAACCAGTGTCTGATCGCAGGACTCGTTCATCGACTGCTGCTTCAACGGTGTGCTACCGGTGCTCATAAGGCGTCGGGGCGTACGCTTCCGGCGCGGACTAATGGCGTCACTTCTGGAGGGAGTCCTGAATATGGCATCGCTTCCGGAGGGGACAGTAGTCTTGTGGGGCGTCTGGTTGTCGACGATCGGCGAGGCGTTCACACCAATCGGATTGACAAACAGCGGACTCGACGTCTGGATAATCCTGTATTGGCTTTGATTACCACTGTTTGTGGTCACAGTTTGCGATAATTTGTTCAGAAGTGTCTCCACTTTCGTCAACTGCTGCGACAGTCGCCTCAACTCATCCGTCGGTGACTTCTTGTGCCGGTCTTTGGCGGCGGCGTTGGTGTCGCTCTCATGGCATGAGTGGATGATATCCAAGAGGGACTTGCCGTTGATATTCGTCGAGTAATTGAATCCGTGTCTTAAGCCGATGGCGTATTCCGTCAAATGTTTGCTTTCCTTCAGGAACTGCTTCTCGGTTTCAAAGCATTGGCTTTCCTTCAGATATCCTTCGCACAGACAATGAGATAATGAGTGGTAAGTGGTGTGCGGGAAGTGCTCGAGTGATAGCCTCAAGAAGTCATACCTAATACGAGTCTTGCGATCTCCGATGGCATCAAATGGTAACTCATTTTCGGTGACAATCTATTGAATGGTTTTTCACAGCAATTGTGGACACAATTGGTGGCGAAAAACCACTTTCAAAATCATTTGTTTATCATTCGTAACGTTAAAAACCCGTTGAATGCGACGATTGTA